CTTCCTTGTGCTTTGGCTTCTCTACGTTCCAGTGCAATCTTCAGAGTTTCTTCTGACATAAAAATTATTAAAATAAATCAAAGCTAAATTAAGTGATTAGTTAAAAAATCATCCAAGAAAGCATATCCTCAATAAATTCTTTTTTCTCCATGAATTCTTAATAAATTGCTTCATTTATTAATGATAACAAAAATGTTCTAACACATCTTCATATATTTACACTGTGAAGGCTTACCACTACAATTCAAGTTACTTATTCCAATTACCCTGCGCTGAGAAAGAATAATGATTGTGGTGCCCTCTGCTGGGCTTTCTAGTGACAAATACAAACTAGCATCATTATAAAGTATAAAACTTAAGACATCAAGTGAAAAATTATTTCCCAATCCTCAAACACTTTATGCCTTCCTTGGTATTAGTTAATTAAAAATTAGACTAGATATTTATTTAATTCTAATGGAATTCTTATGGTTTATTGTGAAGTGAAGTGTCAGTGCTGATTGTATTGATTTAAAATAAAATGAGTAAAATACAGCAAATAACATGTTTAAATAGGTCTTCATTATTTGTGTCACTACTTTTATAATTTGGCAATATAATCAAGTTCTGAATACTGTACTTACAACAATATATTTTAAAGAAAGCCCTACCTGGATAATCTGACCTGAGTATTTTTCCTGCTTTATTTTAATTAGTTCAATTAAACAGTGCTCAGGCTGTTCGTTCATAGGGTCGCTATGAGTCGTCCACGACTCAATGGCATTAAACAACAACAGCAACAATTAATAAAACATATTTTTTAAAAATCAAAATAATACTTAAAAATATTATTTTCTTCCTTAATAAAAAACACCAAAACATTTTAGAGCTACTTATCTCTAATAGTAACAGCTTCTATTTGTTGTGTGTCAGTTGAGGTATACAGCGTGCTATTATACTTTATTCATATACATGTGACCCAGTCCAAAGAGATTATTTTCTATAAAAATTTAGGTTCATTGAGATGATCTAAGTTGCTCAGCTATATTCAAAGTAGGCAGATCTCATTTCAAAGTTTCATTCCAAATGTTTCTGCCAAACAATGACAGCTAGGGAAAAATATTCTTTTATTTTTAAATATCCTGAGGTCCAATACTTTCCTTTTTTTTATTTTAATGAAAATTTAGAGAGAACATGAATTTCCATTGGAAAAAATATTCTTACTCAACAATTACTTTTACGTGTCACTAAGCATCAACTTGGCTATAACAAGTTATTCGGTAAAAAGTGTCAGAGAAAAGATTTTATTTAGGAAATTATTTTTATTCTATATAATGCTGTCAGTTAGTGACCCTATTTCATACTGAGACATTTGGAGAAGTAATCTGATTTTAACACTGTTGTTGTTGTTAAGTACCATCAAATCATAAACAACTCATAGCATCCCTATGAACGAAAGACCTGAACACTTGTATAACTTTCATCATTTCTCCAGGTTCATAGGGTTTCTGGAGGCAAGCTATTTTGTAAGTAGATGCCAATCCTGTCTCCAAGCTTGTTTTAATCAGGGAGCTCCACCAAACACTGTCTACCATGGGTAACCATTATCACATTTGACACATCATTGTCACAGTGTTGAGTTTCACAGTGACCACAAGTTACCTCTGTACAGCAAGTGGACAAACCAGAGCTATACAACCTAGAAGAATGTTTGACAAAAAACAAAAACAGGTCATAAAGTATTTTACAATTCTGGCACACCCAAATGCTGGAGGATTCTGAGCTAGAGACTCCCAATCTATCTGGCAAGTCCCCTCGGCTAACACCCACTTGGGACAAAAAGAAAGCCTTAAGAGCCCTGAGTAAGTTCCCTACGTGTCTTTCCTCAAGACGCATATGGCCATCCTGGGTTCCAGTTGGAACCAAGATTCACAACCCACTCACACTCAGCCCTCAGCCCGAATAAGAAAATTCTACATTGTAGGTTCATGTTTCTAATTTATACATGCATCAGGGAGCTCTGGTAGCCTAGTGGTAAGGAGTGCTGCCAACCCAAAGGCTCCCAGTTTGAATCCATCAGCCATTGATAGGCAATCTCCTCTTGTGCAGTTTGCAGCCTCTGGAAACCCACTGGAGGATCACCTATGGGTCAGTTCCAACTCAACAGTACCTAAAAGCAACAACAAATCTGACTTAATGAAATTTAACAACCACCCTAAACTAAAGGAGGATTTACAGCCACCATTAGCTTCCCCATCCAATTCTTGCCCTGGTTGCAAATAAAAATATTTGACATGCCTACATAGAAAAGAATTCAGGTAAGTGCCAACACAGAAATTAAAAAGCATCTCTCTCACTACTCATGTAAAAGAAATCAACATCATTGTAAGCACTTTAAGATAAATATAGGATATTTACAGATTCTTTAGATAAAACTCCAGAAATATTTTCCACATAATCATAAGTTTTTCATGGCATGAGCATAAGAACAAAATTACTGCCCCAGTATTACTGAACATCACTCTTTGCAGATGTAAAATTAGCATTTGATAAAACGATACTAGAACTGAATTATGTTATTTTATGTGAAAATAAATGGTTGTTACACTTTTGGATTTTCCTTTGAGGAAAACATATGAGCGCTATTTTCAGTTTTCACTGAAAATTAACTATATAAAGAAACATACCTTATGTAACTGAATATGAAGGTGTACATATCTCCTATCATGGAAAAGTGTCAACCTTGTGATATAAAATTAATTTTAGCTGATTTTCCTCATCATATAATATTATTTTATAATTAAGTATCTCTCTAACTATAAAAATCTCTCTCAATTGACTATAGAGCATGAATCTCTGTATAATAAGAGGTGTTGAACTATGAATTAAACGTCCATCAAAGAGGAAACAACATCAACAGGTCAAATCACACAACCAGTAGAGCCGCTTAGATGAAAAGATCAGAAATTTGATAATACTATAGTACTTCACAAAACAAAAACATTCTAGTATTGAAGTATAATAGCATTAAAGAGCATGCCCTGAGATTATTCTGTAATCAAAGTGGAAAGCAGGCATCGGGAAAACAAGCATCCAAATACAGCAAAGAGAAAAAAGCCAAACCCTCTGCTGAAACAACTAACAAAAGAGATGAACTGAGCAGCCCAGTGCTCCTTCTGACCTACATTTCTCTCCCACACACCACGCAGTGTCAAAACCATCTGAACGCATTTACTTGGCACATCTTAATTTGCAAGACATAAAACAACAAGTTTCTAAAATATGTTCACTATAATGATATTGCATACATAAACACAAACATTGGTCAGTATAATAAGTGAGGAAAATGATAAATTTGCTTTTTAAAACATTAAATATATTTATGTACATTAAGTATATAACTTACAAACATTTCCTGTATTATCAAAGCTGGTAAGAACATCTTCAACATTCAAAGATCCTTTATGATGTCTAAAAAGAAAGCAAGCATTTTCTTTAATCATTCTAAAATAGTAACATTTCTTAACTTGTAAAAAACATGAGACTGTATATTGCTACACACTCAATATTAGAAAATCCTAATTTTAAAAATGCTTCCTGCCCACTAGAGGGAGAAAGAAAAGTAGTAACAGAATATACTTCTTTGAATATTTAATATAATGATGGTTCTTGATGATTGATGTATATTTTTAAAGTATTGACAAATTATTTGGGTTTTTTACAGAGGTTTTTTTTGAGGGATTTTTTTTCTCCTTTGTTGTTTCAATTGCATAAAAGTGAGTATATTCTTTCCCTTTTTAAGAAAAGAAATTCAATAATAAAATAATTTATACTTAAGAGAATTTAAAGTTTAAAAAAATAATTAAAAATTACTAAACAAACCCCAAATTCAAAACTTCAGTCACAAAAACTAACCAATCATGAAGCAATTTCATTAGTGGATAGATTTTTTTACTAACTTTCCCCCACTAACTTTAATTATACCAGCATTTAATTCTAGTCTCTCTTCACTTACCAGACCATTTAAATATTTTTTTTGCCTTCTGATTTTTTATAAATACTCCTGAAAGAGTATTCAATTGTCAACAGAATACAGGGTTTCTGTTATTTTGCCAAAGATGATGAAAAACTGATGTTCAACCATTTAATATCTTTTACATTCCTCTGGCTTTGGAGCTAGGGGTTGCACTGCCAATCTGAAGGTAGAGTTCAAATCCATCAGCTGCTCCACAGGAGAAAGATGGACAATCTCTTCCCAAACAATTAATTGACTCTGAAAACCTGCTGAAGGGCCAGCTGTGAGTCGGTTCCAAATTGATAGTACATGTTAACAATAATATAGCATAGAGAGAGCTCTGCTGGCTTAGTGGTAGGGAGCTGCACTGCCAATCCTGAGGAACATGGTTCAAATCCACCAGCTGCTCTGTGGCAGGAAGATGGGCAATCTCCTCCCATACATCAACACCTTTGAAAACTCACTGGAGTGCCAGCTGAGTGGGTTCCAACTCAACAGCACCTAACAAAAACATAGAGTTTAGAGGTAGCTCTGGAGGGTGAGCTATGAGTTAGTTCTGACTTGACAGTACAGAATAAACAACAGGATAAAACTTACAGTGATAATTCTTTAAGATGCTAAAATAGTTTTAAGTAGACTTTAAAACTTCACAGTGCCATTTATTTGCATCAACACTACTTTAATTTTGTCATCATGATTTAACATAAATGATAAACACAGAATACACATAAACTATAACATCATTTCTGGAACAAATGAGCTTTTTAAACTCAACTCTATAGATCCAGTTCTTTGACAGAATGACGAGTTAAAATTGTAATATGACCAGCTAAGTAACTATTAAGGTTAACAGTATACAGAACCACCTGCCACAAACCAAACCTTCATCATCATGATAAAATTAGAATACAAAGGTAGGTGGTTCAAATCCACTAGCTGCTTTGAGAGGGGTGAAAAATCTCCTCCTGTGCCATTAACTGCCTCTGAAAACCCGCTGTAGTGTCAGCTAGGGGTTAGTCCTGACTCAATGGTACTTACCAACAACAATAACAACAAAATACTTTCTTACATGAAAAACAACTGCCTATGAACTTTAAAAATCATGGAGGATGGCAAGTTAGCAATCTTTGTCTTCAATGTGCAAGAATTAGTGACAAACAGAAAAACTGCCATGAACACAAATGTTATTGAGATTCCATTTGCTTATCTGGCTTCCAGCTACATTCAGGTAGTCTCAAATTCAAGGACTAGTCTTTGTTCACTGTGTCGCTTACTTTTTTAAAGCCTAACGTCTCTAAGAGTTCATCTGTCTTTAACCTTTCATTTTTTACCTAAGTACTGCCTGTACCAGGTAGTTAGAAATAACAAGAATGAGCTTTTTCAAAATTAAATCTTTATGAATACCACTCTTAGCATGTTATGGCAACTAATGCTATATGGCAATTGGTAGCTCTGGTGGCCTGTTGGCAAGAAACTAAAATGCAATCCTGAAGGCACATGGTTTGAATCCACCAGCTGCTCCACGGGAAAAAGGATAGGCAATCTCCTTTCATGCAGTTAGTTGTCTCTGAAAATCAGCCAGAGGGTCAGCAGTGGGTCAATTCCAACTCATGGTATACAACAACAACATCACAAGTAATAAAAGAACCCTCATACATTGCTGGTAGGAATATGCAATGATATTGCAATATATATGCAATAATATGCAGCAACTGTGGAAAACAGATTGGCAGTTACTCAAACACGCAGTGCTCATGTAACTGGCCAGTTTTGATCCTAGGTGTATGCTGTCGATGTTGTTAGGTGCCATGGAGTTTAATATGACTCAAAGCGGACTTATCAACAAAATATCTGTATCTTGCTTTATCCTGTGATATCCTCATGATCCTGATATGCTGTAGTCCATTGCTACAGTCACTCGGTCAATCAAACTTGCTGAAGATCTCCTCCTTCACTGGCCCTCTCCTTTTCCAAGCACGAAGCCCCTTTCAAGGTCTGATCCCTCCTGACAACATGCTCATAGTATGTGAGCCCATCCTTTTCTCTAAGGGGCACTACGGCTGCACATCCTCCCAGACTTGTCTGGTTTTTTGGCAGTCCATGATATGTTCTATGTTCTTCACCAATATCACAGTTCAAAGGCATCAACTCTTAACTCTTTCTTATTCTTTGTTCAATTTTCAGATACATATGAAGCAACTGAAAATACCATATCTTGCATCAGGCATACCTCAGTCTTTAAACCTATGAAAAGTGTATATCCATACAAAAACTGCACAAATTTTAACATTATTATGTTCTTGACAGTCAAAAATAAGAATAAATGCTCATTAACCATCTGTCACGGACTGAATTGTGTCCCTCCAAAATCTTTAACAATATAATGTGGAAGCTATATAATACTCCCTCATGCTATGTGGTATTGTTATACGGCTTAGAATACTTCACCAAAAGCAATTAAAGGCTGGCCTGAGGGTTGAGGATGAGAGTCACCCACCTTTAGCTAGGGAGCATGACTTTCTCGCCACTAGGCCAACTGATCTCTCTATATACTGTTATTAAGTGCCGTTGAGTCACAGGGGACTCATAGTGACCCTATGAACGGAAGACCTGGACACCTCCTGTATAACTTTCATCCTTTCTCCAGGTTCATAGGGTTTCCAGAGGCAAGCTATTATGTCACTCCTGTTTCCAAGCTTGTTTTAATCGGGAGCTCCACCAAACACTGTCTACCATAGGTAACCATTCTCACATTTGACTCATCAGTGTCACAGTTTTAAGCTTCATAGCAACCACAAGTTACCTCTGTACTGCATGTGGATATACCAGGATTCTAGGACCTAGAAGAATGTCTCAACAAAAACAATTAAGGGCTGGCCTGAGGGCTGCAGATTAGAGGACAGCAGGTCCAAGGGCCCAGGAGGATTTTAAGCTACGACGTGGAGCAGGCTCTGCATCCTTCACCTTTATTTACCCTTACTCTAAGGGTCAGTGCCACCCACCCACTTTTGAAGGGCATAAAGTACAGTTACATGCAACAAAAAGGACCCCAGAAACTTCCCTTGCCTGACTGCCACCAAGAGGAGCTTCCATTGAGATGCCAACCATCCCACCAGTTAGCCAGCTGACTTCCAGAGTCAAGGGAGACAAGGGAATATTAGAAATTATTTTATACCAGAGTGACATCCACTTCCTAAATAATATGCCTCTGGAAACCCTATGAACCTCGATAAATGTCGATAGCTGTAGAGGGGCTTCAAGCCTTTTGTCATAGGGTTGCTATGAATCGTGCTCGACTCAAAAGCAATCAACAACAACAACAAAAAAATTACTAATTTTTGTTACTCATTACTCAAAACAGTGGAGTCAGAACCGACTCTTAGCTGACTTTGAGAGGATTTTCAAAGGCTAAATATTGCCTATTTTTCTTGAGAAGTTGCTGGATTTAAACCAGTGCCTTTGAGTTGGCAGGGCAAAACCTTATCCCCTAGACTACAGAGCTCAAAGAGAAAACTAACATCCCAAAAAAGAAATGACAGACTATAGAATAGACTCTATGGTTGCAGGAAAAACAGGAAAAATTTTCATAAAGAAGCATTTAAAAAATTGATTCTTCATGCAACTTGAGCTAAAGTTTTTTAAAAAATAAATGCTAGAAGACATTGTCAGTCTTACACATTCTAGTTATAGAAAAATAGTAGGAAAATTCTAGATATATGAAATTTTTAAAAATGTCATAGAATATTAAACTGAAACTCTAAATCTATAAGTAATCAAAGTTCATAAACACAATTTGAATTTAATATAAGTTTAAGATAAACTGTTGTTGTTATTGTTGTTGTTATGTGCCGTCGAGT